ATGTCTTTTACAGGTAGACACTCATATATTCCAAAATGATATTTGTAAACTTACTTAAGAAATTATTCCTGTTGGATGATTAAAAGCCCTAAACCTGAGCAGGACAGAAGGGGGTAGGCGTGGCCAAAGTTTGTGGGCTTTGAGGAGAGGAAGATCATGCAAAAGAGGAAGAGAGACGCTACCCTCTGGAAGCAGAGAGCCCCAATGGGATGGGTTGGTATGGAGAAGAGCACACGGCAGATCAATATAGAAGGAAGTATTCATTGAATCATAGATGGTAGATATCCCAAGTAAAAATTATTAGAGCAGATAGTGTGGAATAAGGGCTGGCAGGTAAACGTAGATTAGAAGGTAATATCTGCCCTTCCCCAGGTAAGATTAGGCTATTCTAAAATCTATCAGGTGTCTGTGTCTTCTATTGATTATAATAAGGGTTGGAAAATACTGTAATAATAATATAGAGTTAATAATAAACACTGTTAGATCATACTTTTAAATTAATCACAACACTTAAATCTAAATTACTTAAACACACCAAATAAAATGCAGAGATTAGAAAAGTAGATAAATCTCTCATGTGGCCAAGCAGTGGTGGTACATGACTTAATCCCAGCACTTTGGAGACAGAAGCAGGTGGATCTCTGAGTTCCAGGTCATCCTGTTTCTACTAATGTACATGTCAATGCTAGTAGTCAGAGGTTCATATTCTGTAGCACCTAGTAATTTTTCTTTAATATTTAAAAATTATATATAATTACATCATTTCCCCTTCCTATTCCTTTTTCCACTCCCTCTCATATTCCCTCCTTTGCTCTTTTGGGAAATTGTGGTGGACTCCTTTACCTATGTAAGTATAAACATATATGTAAATGCATATCTTATGATAATAGTTACTAGATATCTTAATGAACTCAGGTGTTAACAGTAAGTTATATAATATCCTGTCCTGATAATTAGTGATGTTGAGCACATTTTCATGTTTGTGTTAAACATTTGTATATCTTTTTTTTATTCTCATTAGTTACATTTTATTAATTCTGTATCCCAGCTGTATCCCCCATTCCCTCCCCAATCCCACCCTCCCTCCCTCATCTCCTCCCTGCCCCTTTCCAAGTCCACTGATAGGGGAGGACCTCCTCCCCTTTCATATGACTCTGTTTTGTCAGGTATTTTCAGGACTGGCTGCAAAGTCCTCCTCTGTGGCCTAACAGTACTGCTCCTCCCTTGGGAGGTGGGGAGGTCAAAGAGCCAGTCATTGAGTTCCTGTTAGAAATAGTCCTTGTTCCCCTTACTATGGGAAACCAATTGATTACTGAGCTATCACGGGTCACATCCGAGCAGAGGTTCTAGGTTTTATCCTCTCATGGTCTTTGGTTGAGTGTTCATCTCAGAAAAGACCCTGTGCCCAGATATGTTCAATTTGTGTATCTTAATTTGAGAAACATCTGTTTAGTTCTGCTGCTCTATTTGGTTTTGTTTAATTACTGAATCTTTGGATTTCTTGTTATTCTAGATATCAATTAATTGTTATATGTAAAATATTCACATATTTTCTTTCATTATACAGGTTCTATTTATTTGTCTTGTTTTCTTTGTTTCTTAAAAATTTATAAACTTTATTATAATAAGCTTGTAAATAAATAAAAATATTACACACCTAAATTAACCAGACCCCACATCTACACAATTCAATGAATTTTTAGCTTTTTAGAATAAGAGTTTAGAACAGAAACTGTGGAGCTTCACAGTAAATGTTACACTTTCAGAATTGGCTTTATTTTATGCACTTATTTGGCACCAAATACAAACAAATAAATGTAAACAAAAATCAAAACAGTCTTCATGGGAGGGGAGGTAGGGAGAATGAGGAGGAGTTGAGGGAGGGGAACTGTTATCAGAATGTATTTGTATTATTTGGAAAAATACATGTTCAGGAAAAGAAAAATAGAAAATATATTTTGATAAAGTAGATAATCTATAAAAGAATAAGAACTAGAAAAACACATACCTTTCTATTTTTTACAACTAGTGTCCACTTCCTGAATTCAGTACTTTGCTTTTAAGTTTGAAGTAATCCCATATCTTAATTTCTGCTTTCATTTCCCATGCTTTTGTGATATTGTTAAAAACAAAAGAAACAAAACCAATATTCTAATTTCCATTGTCTTGAAGCATTTGCTGAGTGTTTTTATTCTATCATTTAAGTGATTCAGATTTTACATTTAAGTACCTTTTGTTAAAAATTTTTTTCTTCAGTTCTTGGTGTTGTTTCTGCAGTTAAAGAATTAATGTGGATCCACCAACACCTAGAGTGTGGGTCCTCTCAGACTACGATGTCTGCCTTTAGATCCCTTTCCACTAGCTGAGCTGCAATGTCTGGCCTCAGTGGCAGAGGAAGCACTTAGTTCTGTAGCTTCTTAATGTGACAGGGTGAGTTGGTAACCATAGGGCACTTCCCTGTTCTCTGAGAAGGAGAGAGAAGAATGGAGAGAATGTGTGTGGAGGTGTTGACAGGAGAGGAGACAGGGCTACAATCAAAATCTAAAGTGAATGAATAAATTAATTTAAAAAATTAATTTAAAAATTAATAAAGATTATGTAAGCTTGATACTTCAGGCATAAAGTTCCAGCTATGTAGGAGGCTGAGACAAGTGGATTTTGAGTTCAAAGTCTGCCATAAACAGAGAATGAGTACATAGCTAGCCCAAGTGAAAAAAAAAAAAAGGACCACTTGACTTGAAAAAGAAAAAGAAAATTAAAGAAAAAGGATGAAGCCCAGTGGTAAAGTATGTACTGGGATGGGATTGCCCCCTTTTTCCTTAACTACAAGAAGAAGAAGAAAAAAGAAAGTGGTATTTTTTTGAAAGTGCATTTTTTTGAAAACAGGTCTTTCTTTCAAAAACACTGAACTTCTTCCATACCTTACCACCAAATTATTAATTTTTTGAGTTCATTTAAGATTATGTACTTAACCTGCTGTTCTACTTTGTTCTCACCCTGTTTAGATGAATGATGTAACCAATCTTACTGTGCCTTAGATTTTCCAGGTAATTAGCTTTTCCATCTAAACTAAATGCATAGCTTTAAATCTAAGTTATAAATTCTTACATGACCTGACTCAAAAGTGTGTGTGTGTGTGTGTGTGTGTGTGTGTGTTTGTGTGTGAGTGTTACCAATCATTTACTCGAAGCAACCAATTAGTTAAAAGAAACCATGAACAAAACACATTGGAGGGAATATATGAACGTGAGTTGGTAACAACTGTGTGAGCTTTTGAGTGTTATTCTGGGTCAGCAAAGTAATTTATTTCCTTGTAACACCACCTTGTAACACCACTCTGTGGTGTTGTGAATAAAAACATCCCTCATAGGGTTATATATTTTCAGGCTTAGTTGCCAGTTAGTAAACTGTTTGGGAAGGGTTAGGAGGAGGTATGATGATCGTGTTGGAGTAGGAGTCACCTTGTTAGACGAAATGTGTCACTGGAAGTGGGATTTGACGTTTTAAAAGTCTAGGCCAGTCTACCTGTTTGTCTCTGTCTCTGTCTCTGTATTTCTCTTTTTTTTCCTTGTTTTTTTCTCTGTCTGTGCCTGTAGATGAGCATGTAGCTCGCAGCTACTCCTCTAAGACCTTGCCTACCTACTTGCCTGCCTGCCATCACATTCTCCACCAGACTAATCCTCTGAAGCTGTAAGCAAGCCCCCATTTAAATACGTTGTTTTGTTGTCTTTTCACAGTAGTAGACTAGTAGTTGTGACACTCTCTATTAAAGATTTCTGTAGCTAAGTAGACATAGACCAGGTTTTCTGTGATCTTAAAAAACTATAAAATAAATATAAATAAATAAATTGCATCAACAATTCCATCTTTCCCTACAAAACTTGCACAAGTTCTTGCCCAGAACTGACCATGACCCAAAAGATGCATCTTGCAAGGTCTTGCACTACATGCACACCACTTGTGCCACTGGGACCCCTCAACAGGGGAAGTGTTTACACTGGAGGTTTGTTACCCAACGCTGTCTGGAAAATGGACATTACTCATCACCTTCCTTTTGGTAGCCACAGATATGTTTATGGTATTGTAGATACTTACTCTTCCTTCTTGCATGCTGTTACAATGATTGGTTACCCTGGCCAGCGGAGCTAAGTTTATTCGCAGGGTAAAAGAGAATCCAAACCTGTGAAAAGATGGGCGAGAAAGAGAAACCAGTCCAAGCAAACAGGTGCTTGTCAAGGACTAACTTTACTGAGCAGAATCAGCTTTTATAAAGGGTTCAGGATAAGGAAGTAGGGTGGGTGAAAAATTACAGATTCTTCTCGGCCAGGGGCCTGAAACATCTTGTGATAAGCCATGGTTCTGTGAGCACTTCTCTACTGTTGCCAAGCAGTATGTTTATCGCAGGTAAGTGTAGAGAGCCTGAAGCAAACGCCATTACAAGATGGCGCCGGCATCCGGTGTGTGAGATCGTAAACAACTGCCTATGCACATGCGCTAAAGCTGAATTTGAGCCTGGGATTGGCTCACTTAGTGATGTAAGATGGCCTGATGGGAACCAACACGTCACCATTTAGGGTATAAAAGGAGTGCCATTTTGGGGCTCTAGGTCTTCCTCTCATTACTGCTGAATAAACACTTGCTGCAGAAGAATCCTGGTGTCTGTGTGCATTCTTGCTGGCGAGACGACCCCGCGGGCTACAACTGGTGCCAAAACCCAGGACACCGGGGCAGTCTTTCATCGCCGGCCCTGAGGAGACCCCCCCCCCCCCCCCTCGCGGGGAGGATTCAGAACTGCAGCACTAAGGTAAGTTCTAAGAGGCATGTTTGGTCTTGAATTGTCTCATCCTTCACCCCAATTGGCAGGAGCTCTTGTAGCTTTCCCTATTGTGATAGTAACGCTCGTTCTCCTTCTTTTGGTTTTAAAATCTTGCTTAGAAGATAAGAAATGCCACTCATCTGTGGCAGCTGGCCAAGGGATGTTAGAGGAAATACAAGACAGCATGTCAGAAACAGAACGGGATAAAAGGTTAGGGGCCCTTAAAGAAAAAGAAAGAGACGTCTCTAAGAAAAAAGGCCCTTCTGTGGACGGTAAGTCCACAGACAGGATAGACAAAGGAAAGGACGCCCTGGGAGAGAAAGGTGAAAAGGGAAAGAAAAACCCAAAAAAGAAGCCTCTTTATCCAATAAAAGAATTGGAGGCTTTGGGGCTTGGTAGTTCTGAATCTGAGGAGCTGAGTCCATCTGAGGAAGAGGACTTAGAGGAGGAAGCGGCTCGCTTTGAGGAAGAGAGGTACCACCCTGATGAGCAGCCGTTACCACCAAATCGAGAGCAAAAGAGGGGAGGAGCTGGAATTCGCGGGGCTTTCTCATTGACCCCTAGTGCCCCTCCACCTTATGTTGAGAGGCACGGTTTAGATTCCTTCTTTTCGAAAAGGGATAAAAGGAAGCTTTTGCAGGCCTTCCCTGTATTTGAGGCTGCGGAAGGGGGCCATGTTTATGCAGCGGTAGAATATCCCCTTGTTAAAGAACTTGCTGAATCGGTTAACAAATACGGGGTAGCTACTAACTTTACAATCATGCAGCTTGAAAGACTTGCTAGCGTGGCCATGACTCCAAATGATTGGCAAAATACCATAAAAGCTGCTCTCCCTAGTATGGGACAGTACTTAGAATGGAAAGCCTTGTGGCATGATGCTTCCCAAACTCAAGCAAGGGCCAATGCCTATGCAGAAGACAATCAGCAGCAATGGACCTTTGATTTGCTAACGGGGCAAGGCCAGTTTGTTCATAATCAGACAAATTATGATTAGGGGGCATATGGTCAGATCTCTGCTGCCGCTATTAAAGCATGGAAAGCCCTTTCAAAGAAGGGCGAGGCCAGAGGACACCTAACAAAGATTATACAAGGCCCTCAGGAGCCATTCTCAGATTTTGTGGCCAGAATGACAGAAGCAGCAGGTAGAATATTTGGAGATCCAGAGCGAGTCAGGCCAATGATAGAACAGCTGGTATATGAAAATGCTTCCCCAGAATGTAAGACAGTCATTACTCCTAAAAGGAACAAAGGGCTTACAGATTGGATAAAGATCTGCCGAGGACTTTGAGGCTCACTTACCAATGCTGGCCTTGCAGCGGCTATCCTGCAGAGCAAGAGCCGCTCAGGTCCAGGAGGCAATAAAACCTGCTATAGCTGTGGTAAACCAGGCCATTTGAAGCAAGATTGCCGTGCTACTGCACAAAAGAAAGTTCCAGGATTGTGCCCCAAATGTAGGAAGGGTAATCATTGGGCCAATGAATGTCGTTCAGTTAGGGATATTCAGGGAAAACTTATTCAGCATAAAGCCCCCCCTAATGAGAGGAATGAAAATATTCCAAAAAACGGGTTTCAGGGCCCCAGGTCCCAGGGCCCCAAAAGATATGGGACACAAGCAGGCAACAGGAGGGTAGAACAACAAGAGGATTAGCAGGATTGGACCTCTGTTCCACCTCCCAGTTCTTATTGATGCCCCAATTGGGTGTTCAGCCCATTCCAGTTGAGTTTGAGGGCCCTCTGCCCGAGGGAAGTGTTGGCCTGATACTTGGACGCTCCTCTCTTACCCTAAAGGGGCTTATTATCCATCCTGGAGTAATAGATCAAGATTATACTGGAAGGCTTCAAGTTCTTTGTTCTTGTCCGCAAGGAATATTTTCCATTTCCCCTGGAGATAGGATTGCCCAGTTAGTTCTTCTTCCAAGCTTGCAGGATGTTTTCCCATCCACAGGAATGACAAGGGGCAACAAAGGGTTCGGTTCTTCAGGAACTGACTTTGCTCACTTGGTGGTTGATTTAAAAACTAGGCCCACCTTACAATTACAGATAGAGGGGAAACTTTTCAGTGGCATTTTAGATACTGGGGCTGACCGGAGCATTATCTCCTCAAATTAGTGGCCTAGGGCGTGGCCTGTTACACAATCATCTCATTCCTTACAAGGGTTAGGATATGAAGCCAGCCCTGCAGTCAGCTCACGCCTGTTGACCTGGCAAGTACCAGAGGGTCAGACAGAAAGTTTCATACCTTATGTACTTCCTCTCCCCGTTAATCTCTGGGGAAGAAACATCTTGCAAGACTTGGGATTGGCATTGACCAATGAGTACTCTCAACAAGCTGTTGATATAATGAAAAGGATGGGTTATAAGAAAGGAAAAGGCCTTGGTAAACAGGAACAAGGGAGATTACACCTGATTTCACAGGAAAGTAATGCAGGGAAACAAGGCCTGGGTTTTCATTAGCTGCCATTGAGGGCTCCATACCCATACCATGGCTTGCAGGGGAAGCCGTATGGGTTCCTCAGTGGCCTTTATCCTCTGAGATACAATATGAAAACTTTACTGCTAATCTGTCCAGAGAATTGTCTTTATACCTTGTAGGAAACTGGTCAGAAGGATTTGATGAGACGCTGGAGGTATTAAGAGCAGCAATTGTGACGATTAATTCAACACGAGTGGACCTGTCACTGACAAAAGGACTCTCCTCGTGGATTTTTTCAGCCTTTTCTTTTTTCAAAGAATGGGTGGGGGTTGGTTTATTTGGCACTATGCTCTGTGGTGGATTGGTCTTGGTTCTTTGGTTGCTTTGTAGGCTCAGAAGCCAACACGCCCATGATAAGGCCATTATTACTCAAGTGCTTGTTGCAATAGAACAAGGTTCCTCCCCTGAAGTTTGGCTTTCTTTACTTCGCAAGTGAGGCTGTGAACAGCCCTTGCACTCCCAGGAGATGTTGAACTCCATTGCACGGGAAGGGTGTCGCGCCTGCTTGAGTTGCCTACCTTACACTCGGTCTGTCAAGCTAAGCATTGCACAGAGAATCCTAAATCACCTTGATAGGCTCTCTGAAAGGCATGCCTAATTGCATGAGGGTTGTGTCTAAGTTTTACCCTCCCTCGGGAAAAAGGACACTGGCTGGGTCAGGACAGTCGATGAATGTAGGGTTCGGAGACTGTACCACTACATTAGCCATCTGCACCGGGGATTGGACCTCTACCTTTGGCCGTTGTGTCTTAATAAAATAAAAAGGGGGAGATGTAAAGAGCCTGAAGCAAACGCCATTACAAGATGGCGCCGGCATCCGGTGTGTGAGATCGTAAACAACTGCCTATGCACATGCGCTAAAGCTGAATTCGAGCCTGGGATTGGCTCACTTAGTGATGTAAGATGGCCTGATGGGCTGCATCCAATCAGGAACCAACACGTCACCATTTAGGGTATAAAAGGAGTGCCATTTTGGGGCTCTAGGTCTTCCTCTCATTACTGCTGAATAAACGCTTGCTGCAGAAGAATCCTGGTGTCCGTGTGCGTTCTTGCTGGCGAGACGACCACGCGGGCTACAGGTAAGGAAACGGGCAAGTTGAGGCAGGTTGGTGAGTTTCTACAGGTGGTCTCTGACATCTCCAAGCAGTATGTTTACTGCAGGTAAGGGAACGGGCATCTCCAAGCAGTATGTTTACTGCAGGGAAGGGAACAGCAAATTGCAGCAAGTTGGTAAGCTTCCACAGGTGGTCTCTGAAGTTGGCAAGTTCCCTCAGGTGGTCCCTGACAATTGGTGAAAAGGCCTCCCATGGCATCAAAGAGATGAAATTGGCTATGCTTGTCATGTGTGTTCCCTGGGCCTTAAAGACAGACCATGGCCCAAAATATGCCTCTCAACAGTTTAATGAGTTTGTGGCCTCTTGGAAAATTGATCACACTTTTGGAATCCCCTACAATCCTCAAGGACACACAATAGTTGAAAGGTATAATCAGACATTAAAGGAGCTGCTGGCAAGGGTAATTTTACCAGAGTCTAAATGTGATCCACATTTGGCCACATGTGACCACATTTGGCCTTATTCCACAACAGTTTTGTCACTTTTGATGATTAAGATTGAGCCCTGCTTATAAACGTGGGGCCTACTTGCCCAGAAATACCCATTACCACTAGTAAGATGGAGAGACCCTTTGACAGCCCAATGGCAATTGCTCAACCCTCTGTTGACATGAGGCAAGATTATGCTTGTGTTTTCCCACAGAATTCAATTATACCTAAATGGATTCTGGTGAGAGATATTCAACTGGCACTGGAAGAGGAAGGTTTTTCTATCCATCCTGGATAGTCACCTATGCCATTATGAGAGGAATTGTTATCATACTAATCATTTTGTTCATATGTCTCATACAGCATATTTCTCAGCAATGCTCTATCAACAAAGCGATGCTACAGGTGCTCATGGCTCTAAAACATCCAGATCGTGGTCCACCCAAAGAAGTGATAAAAACCTAGCTCAAGGAACTCTTTGAGGTCTCTGTTTAATTTATCTCCTGCTGTCACTGTGAACTCTCCAGGATGGTTGTCCTTTGAGGATCAGAAGTCAATAATGGATAAGAAAGGCAGGTCAAGCCCTTAATACTGGACACCTCTTGAGGTGGGTTCAGCAATGCAAGAGTATAGAAATCTGGCTTCCACTGAGCTATAACAAATAAATAAAAAGGGTGGGTATGCAGGAGGAGCAAGGCCTGATATTAAGCAACATGTGCATGCGAAGTTAAGACTTCCTGGGAGGGCCAAACTGATGCCTGCCAAAGAGCCTAGAGATTGATGACTGCATGTCACGTGATGGAGCACAAGCCAATAAAGAAGAGCAAGAGCCATAGCAAGCAGCCAAGAGCCAATGAGATGCAGGGAAGGGAGTATAAAAAGGTCTGCCTTATTTCCTCAATAAACGATTCTGTTTTCGCCTCTTACCTGACTCCCAGAGTCTGTGTGATTTACTCTTTGCCTTCTCACCATTGCCCCTAAGGGTCCCGAGTTGGGATTACCACAACAAGCAGAGAACTTTATTAGGGATAGGCACAACAGACAGGCAGGCACAACAGATAGACTAGATATGAACATTAATAGACAGGACAGTAACCATAAACTACAGAAAGAAGAGATATGGAGAGAAGCACAGAATTCAAATTTAGGCTCACTCTTGAACAAACTACTCCAAAAAGAAATTCTGTTTTCTTTCCTTAATATAACATTGATATATATTATAAAATGGTTTTTTAACCATGAAAAGAATGAAATCCTAATATTAGGTCCAATGAGGGATGGAACTAAGTTATGTTAGTCAAAATAAGCCAGGTGTAGAAAGAAAAGTTCCATATTATATGTTTTATTTTATATGTGATATCTGAAAATAGAATTGTATAGAAGCTAAAAGTAAAAGAGTATTTTGACAATTTCTTATATGTATACAGTATGTTTTGAACAAATTCACCTCCACTATTTTCTGTCTATGTCCCTCTCCTATTGAACTCCTTTTACTTTCCAGCTAGCCCTCCTTTTACTCTCAGGACAATTTTTATTTACTCACTCACTAACTTATTTTATTTTTTAGTAATTCCCTTTGTTTGGTTAATATTCCTTGTATAAACATGAGTATTGGTTTATTGGCTGAAGCATGAGTAGTTTGCTGGTGGCTATCACTAAAGAAAACTGATGCCCTTCCCCTTAGTACCCATTAACTTTCAACAGCCGCTTATGCTGGTTTGATTTATTGACCGGTTGACACAAGATAGAATCTTTTGAGGGGGGGTTCCTCAATTGACGAATTAGTGAAGAATTTTGGGACCTCATTTTGTTTAAGTAGTCAAACTGTTGTTGGTTCATGACAAAAACAGCCATATATTAACCAAAAGACAGTATTTCACAGTAATTTGAGTAAATGTTATAATTACTTTTAAAGCTAAAAAAGAGCAGATAATATAGCTATGTTTATCTTCCATTTGCTTAACACAATTACATACAGATATTTCTCATATACTGATGAATAGGATACAGGACAGTCTGAGTTAATAGATTTTTACCATATTTGTGTATTTTATTACTGAATTTAGCAGGCAACTTAATTTAGCCTGGCATTTTTATTCTCAGCCACATGGACTTGAGTTTGATTCTCTCAAGTTAGAATTGCCCAAATTTACACCTGAAATATGTATGTGCCCTATTCCAGATTATATAAATGGATATTAATGTTCCTGGGATGTTATTTTTACCATAGTTCCCTCTATTTTGAAAGATGCCAAGAACATTTAAACAAGAG